GACAACAATAAGGACCCACAGAACAGACATTGACACAAACATATCCATAAGGTCTCTTCGATGAGTATCAATATTCGATCCTATTCGATCCCGGATAATTTTAATTCTTGACAACCGTACGCTAACTAAGTACATACTTCTTATCTTAATTCGCATCGTATTAAATAGCGAGTATCCTGGATCCACTCTTACAACACTCGGTTGCGTGGGATTTGGCGACCCGTGTAAATTTACACAAGAAGCTGTCCATGGTCTTGCCAGCAAGAGCCCGAAAAGGCATGGTTTCGCCCTATCTTCCTCTTTTCTATTGGGGTCTAATGCATCTCTTACAAATTTCTATATAATCAAGTACTTGAGCTAGTCCTTACTTCGGTTTTGGTCGACCGTCTCTGTCCTGGCCCTGCAGTCTACCTTCTCTCCGGGAGTCGAGCTCACTGCTTGTGCTGGTACAGGGACCAGCCGTCTGACCACAATCGGTGATGTATCTATCGATCTATCTTAGGATCTATCTCTTATACAAAAGAACGCGTGGTGTACTACAGAGCAAACATGGACACTCACAATTTCATAAATAAGGCGGCGTATCATTATGAGACAAGGACAGAGAAGGACCTAGAAGGACCCGCAGAACATGGACACACGCTCACAAGATCTTTTCAATGGAGTATCATTTTATTCTACATAGACCTTTATCCTAGACCAATTCATCATAATCATAGTTCAATTCAATTGGACTATGAAGAACATGCGATGGAAGTTCTGACCGAATCTTGTTCAAGTGATTTACTGCTTCACGCGCGGATGGCCGCTCCTTGGCATCATCTGCAGACATTTTGCGTAGTAACTGAACAACATCAGGAATAGAATCGATATGCTACGAGAGAAAATTAGATTGTTGGACGCAAAACCGACAATCAGACCTAACCTCAAGCCATTTGCCAAAAGCCTTACCCAACTGCCATACATCACTTTTGAATGGGCAGTAAGGGAGCTCGGATTTCATTTCTGGCGGAACAGGACGCTTGTAAATATCCCAAGGAAGTGGTGGACCGGTCACCGTTCGAGTTTCTGGATCAGAACCTGGCAAGAATCGGATAGCCCACTCGAAGTCGATAATGTAATAACGAGGACGTAGAAAGTCATATCTGTTGTCTGGATCCCACGGTGCATCACGGCGCGAGCTAAGGAAGTTACTAATGAAGAGATCCTGAGAAGCATGGCTTGAAAACATATCCATATAAAGAAAAGACCATACATACCCGGTGTACTACGAGATGATCATGTAGAAATGCAACACCCTAGATGCAGACAAGTATTATGTATAGATGTCAGAGGCAAAGAGGCCGGGGGACACACCTCCATAATCTGGCTCGTGGCTTCAAGAAAATGTTCGATATCTGGAAACCATTCGATTGCAAACATACTACCAACCAAAGGGAACACCCCGAAAACAAGGTTGTTGTGATGAATTTCTTGCAGCATAGGCAAAGCATGATTTCTGTCGATTCCTGCGTTTTTGCCGGTGGCCATTTCGCGCAAAGCATCAATACAATTGAGGCCGACCACGCCGTCACTCAAAAGAACGATCATTACATCTCGTGAATCTCTCGTACGAGCCGGGAAAATGAACGGATGCTGAGTTAACCAGTCGATTAGATGAAGCCACCCGAGATCAGGGAAAAGCAGACTCAAAGTCTCACCATATCTGAGTATGAGTGAGACGTGTTGGCACCGTATTCATTCTCGTAACTAAAACCATCTGGAGCGCGAGGCTTGTCGTCCGGTGGAACATGGTCGTAGCGAATTATCTTCCATAGCCTATACCCCTTTGATTCAAAGAATGGGACATATGACTGCCAAAGTTTCGTGCGGTCATCTTGGGTAGCGCAAGTGCTTCTCCAAGTTTCAAGAGAAAACGTCTACAGGCATTCCAATATTTAGTAGTTTGAGGCATCGGACACGCTGAGGGTATATTACCTTCCGAGGAGTGACAAGTCTTCTCCAGAGAAAGAGCCAGAGCCGTTTCGTGGACGTGCAGAAGAGAGCTAAGAGACGTTGCAGCGAGGAAAGCATGATTGAGGTTTGTTGTTTACGCTCGCCACAAAAAGAGTTAAGCGCTCATATCAACGTGATCAGCGGTTCGTTTCAGGGGTGTGACCGTGATCAGTGGCACTGGCACTGGCAGTTGCATTTTGATTTTTGATTTGAATTCCTCTGTGTTAAACCCGCCCAGGTGGTCTGCGATGAAGTGCCTGTGCATGCTTTAGCAAGACAACTCTCACCACCTAAATCCTAAGGGCACTACTACGCATCCAGTGAACGTGCACTTTGCAAAAAGAGCAATGGTACAGCAAGGTTTGATACAATAAGAACGTTTCGTCTCCTCCAATGTTGATATCCTGGTCAGACGTTGGATTCCCAGAACGCGGAATCTACGGCATCGCACACAAGCTTCCAGCTTATATCCAGAGGTGTCTGTCTCCCAGATTGGCCAATCGTGTTGTGACAGTTGACGATGAAAGAGAGGTGTTTGCGGGGAGGTTGGCGTCATTCTGGGGAGAGCCGGAGTCATGGAATGCTTGGCCTTTGAACTAACATTTCAGTTCTCCACTGCCAGGCACCTACAGACACCAACGGGACCCGGTAAACGTCAACCCGGCGAGCTTGTTACCATTCAGGGTAAGGTTTTACTTTACCTTTTCTTTGTTGGGCCAAGTGATCGTCGACTGTCACTTGAAGCTTGATATCAGGCAAGCAATTCTCCAAACAGTTTCCAAGGTGCGGGTGAACTTTGATCAGGGTACTTGTATTACGATCGCGATAAGCAACTGTGAGAAAAAAAATGCAGTAATGTAATAGTGTTTGTGGCTATAACAAGCGTGTGTATACACAACGAAGGGAACGAAGATAACTTTAGCAAGGTGCGCGACATAATTCTTGTTCTCAGCACCCCAGCCTAGTCTCCTCTAAGCAGACTCGTTACACACTGACGATCCCTACGGATGTGTAACCTCAGCTGCATCTGGTTCCAACTTCTATGTCCGTTCTGGGTTCGGTACTTCCGCATCGTATTCGGCTTACACGGAATCAACAAATTCGGCCGAGCCCATGCCGCCGCTTTCGCAACAACTCCCTCGCAGCCACCTTCCATTGGCATGTACGTTGCATCACCTATACTCGGAGCCATTCGAGTTGAATCTCCACTATCCCCACTACATGTTCTTTTCGAGTCAAGTTAGAGCATACTCCATACATATCTACTCTGCTACATAACGCTTTGACATTTCCGCATTAAATATAATTAACGCCGTTGGATTACTTTATACTGTACAGGTCACGCTTCGCGGCGTTTTCCTCTCTGCTTGATCTACTTTGATATCAACTGAGACTGAGGTGAGCGTATGATATTTTACGGTCCAACTTGTTCTTGCATACAATATAGTTTGCCCTGACGTCAACCGAGTCTGATTTACCCTAACAGATATAGTTACTCGTAGCGAAAAAGAACACTCGATTCAGAAATGTCATCTGGAAACGGCCTAAACAACGATGAGCTTATCCATCTAGCAGACACTAATCTCAGACAAGAAAAATTCAACCCAGCGGAAGCCACAATGGAGGACCACGAGAAGCGGATGCGAAACCTCCTCAAAAAGCTCAACGACCTTGGAGGGGATACTACCGACGATCAATTCCGTCGTATCGTCATATTTTCCATGCCTCGAGAATGGAGACGAGACACTTATAGCGTGCCTGGAACCACAAGCGCAGATGCCTTCGACTACCTCTACACGCTCTGGTACCAGAGAGAGGATGAACGAAAGGAGGATGAACGAGAGACCAAAAGGATCAAGGCGCTGATGGCTGCACATTCACTTCCCTGCAACCGGTAAACAACCTAGTCAATCGCGCACTGGTGGCAGGTCTACGAGTATCTGAAGGCGAGGAGATAGCGGACTTGGGCGACGAGCTGTGAAAGGGAAGATACTAGGATATATGGGAAGGCGACCTTGCCACTTGGGGACGAACATCACCAGAGCACCAGTCCATAACTGTAGAGCATTCGTCAAGGAGAGATATTGGAAACCATCGTTGAATGAAAGATGCGTCCCAGTGTGAGGGAGAGCTGTCTCTATCGATGAAAGTCCCGGAGGCCCATATAGGCACGTTGAGCTTATAGTTCGAGGATTTACTTTTTGCTGATTCATTTGTAGTTCTCAATGCTGCCCGCTACTTGAACACATTGCCCGTTCGTAGTGATATCCCTTCACCCAAGACTTGATGCTTTGACGCCGGACAATGCAGGAAACTCAGCTGGTCTTCGAGCTTGTCCACATGTTTTGTCCGACGTTCGACATTTTCACGCTTGTCATCTGGACCTTCTCCCGGGATCGTTTCGTGCGGTATCTGAATATCAGGATGTCGAATACGAAACGGTGACCAACAGCAATAGTTTATACAGATTATGCTTTCTGAAGCGATGCGTGCACAAAGGTACGTTACACTGGTCTAGCGAGAACGGTATCCTACTAAGAAACTTATAGGCTAGGCCGATCTCGATGTTCCCGCAGTCGCCTTGTTGGACCCCATTTTATCGTTAATTAGGTAGGGGTCTGATAAGTTGAACCTAAGGCCTAAAGCCTAAACACCTGTCTAGGTGCCAATGCCCAATGGCAAATTCCGATGAGGCGGCCGATCGAGAGGCTCTTCGGACTGCACGGGGTATCTCCCCTATGAGTGGATTGGAGCTGCCGTATGTAGTCTCCCCGTGTATATCAAAGATACATGATAAGAAGACAAGTTTAGAGATACCGAAAGCTTGAGATCTTCAGAAACGCGGCTTGATGATGCGTGAGGTGGATCTTTGTTATCTGCTTAAGCTTGTGGGTGTCGGTGCCGGTGAGGTCTCGAGTGCTCAAGAAAACCTAAGACAACGGACTCAAGGTCAAGTCTTCAGACACCACAAGACCAAAAAAGAAGCATCCATTGGACACATGACATTCCTTCTAGCCGACTTGAACGACTGACCTCGTCATTATGATTCAGACTTCCCATAGCTATATACTAGTGACGCGCTCTACCAACTGAGCTAAGAAGGAGTAACGTTGTCCCGTCAGTTTCATCCAATGATTCTCTCGATTCTCAAGTCATCTGCTAGTAGTCTACATAACACTTACATATATAGTTGCTTTGAGTCTGACTTATCTTTATAGATATCAATATGTGACTGGCAGCTGGAGCAAAGACAATATTACTCGCAGCAAAAAGGACTTGATTTAGAAGACAGCACAGACTCGGAATATCAAGGACCTTGAAGTTGGAGGGGCTGATACGCTACTGATGCTCAAGCCCTCAACTTGAAGTCCGTCGTATCCTCCTTTCTTCCATCTCTTCCATGCCAAGTCCCGAATGGAGACAGTGTCCCTGGAGCCTCGCAGATGCCTTCACCCACCTGCCCACGCTCTGGCACCAGAAGGAGGAAGAACAAAGGAGGAGAAACGAGACGTTGAAAGAGTCGAGGCACAGATGGCTGCACATTCACACATCCTCATATCCGATTCGGATATACAGGCTACTCAACCACGCGCCAATGGCAGATCTACGACTACGCTTATCTGGAGATATGGAGGGTGCCTGGTAAACAACCACTGCCAGAGTAGGGATACTCAAACATGCTAAATTTGAAGATAGGAACAACCCGGAATGCCAGCGCTGCGACGGACGAAGCTGAAGTCTCTTCCGAGTCGACTTACGTGTCGATCGACCTCAGGCTGGACATCTGTGAAATCTTCCAAGGGTGTTTGTTTTGGTCATGCTTGGCGATTGAAAGGACATCAGGTAGCATCCACTCTTTTATGAATAAAAGGAGCCACAGAACAGAACACTCACAGACATGTCACCTATAAGGTCTTTCCAATGGAGTATTATATCATTATTCGATCCGGGATAATTTTATTCTAGACAATCCTAATCCTAGACCAAGTCATCATAGTCACAGTTCCTTTCAATTGGACTATGAAGAACATGCGATGGAAGTTCTGACCGAAGCTTGTTCAGCCGAGTCACTGCTTCGCGTGCGGATGGCCGCTCGTTTGCATCAACAGCGCGCATTTCTTGCAGTAACTGAACAACATCGGGAATACAATCGATATACTACGAGCGAAAATTAGATTGTTGGACACAAAACAGACGATCAGACCTAACCTCGAGCCATTTCCCAAAAGCCTTACCCAATTGCCATACATCACTTTTGAATGGGCAGTAAGGGAGCTCGGATTTCATTTCTGGCGGAACAGGACGCCTGTAAATGTCCCAAGGAAGTGGGGGACCGGTAACCGTTCGAGTTTCTGGATCAGAGTCTGGCAAGAAGCGGATAGCCCACTCGAAGTCGATAATGTAATAACGAGGACGTAGAAAGTCATGCCCCTTATCTGGATCCCAATCTGCATTACGGCGCGAGCTAAGGAAGTTACTAGTGAAGAGATCCTGGGAAGCATGGCTTAGAAAAGAGATCCATATAAAGAAAGACCATACATACACGGTGCACTACGAGATGATCATGTAGAAATGCGACGCCCTAGACGCAGATGAGTTGAAGTATTATGTATAGATATCAGAGGTAAAGAGGCTGCGGTACACACCTCCATGATCTGGCTTGCAGCTTCAAGAAAATGTTCGATATCCGGAAACCATTGGGGTGCAAACCAACTACCAACTAAAGGAAACACCCCGAAAACAAGGTTGTCGTGGTGAATTTCTTGCAGCATAGGCAAAGTGTGATTTCTGTCGATTCCCGCGTTTTTTCCCGTAGCCATTTCGCGCAAAGCATCAACACAATTGGGCCCGACCACGCCGTCGCTCAAGAGAACGATCAATACATCTCGTGAATCCCTCGTACGAGCCGGGTAATTGAACGGATGCCACTGAGTTAATCAGTCGATTAGATGAAGCCACCCCGAGGTCAGAGAAAAGCGAAGCAGACAAGCAACTCTAGGTCTCACCGTATCTGAGTATAAGTGGGACGAGTTGGCACCGTATTCATTCTCGTAACTAAAACCATCTGGAGCGCGAGGCTTGTCGTCCGGTGGAAAATGGCTGTGGCGACCTATCTTCCAGAGCCTATACCCCTTTGATTCAAAGAAGGGAGCATATGCCTGCCAATGTTCTGTGCGGGCATCTTGGGTGGCGCAAGTGCTTCTCCAAGTTTCAAGAGAAAATGTCTACAAATATTCCAATATTTTAGTTCGTGGCAGGAACGCGCTGAGGCTGAGACTGTATTACCTTCCGAGGAGTGACAAATCTTCGCCAGAGAAAGAGCCAGAGGCGTTTCGTGGATGTGCAGAAGAGAGATAAGAGACGCTGCAGCGACGAAATCATAAGATTGAGGTTTGTTACTCGCCACAAAACTGAAAAAGCGCTCAAGCCTCAAAGGGATCATTCAGGCGCCCGTTGCGAGGGGTGACCGTGATCCTTGGCGTTTACTCTTTCTGTGTTTCATCTCACTGTCAGATCTCCCTCTCACCGCCTAGACACTATGCATCCAATGAACGGAACGTGCACTTCGGATTATTCTTCTACTAGGAGATCTCAAATTGCCTTCACAGCTGTTCACTTTCGACTGTCTATCTAGGATCGACTCGATCCTAGATAGACAGTCGAGTGCTAACTTTCGACCAGTCGCACAAAGTTGAAGCTCAAACTACTACTTGAAGCCCGAAGGTTGAAGAGCTCTTGTAAAATCCAGCTTCACTCGATGTTCAATTTTGTACTCCTCCATCTCCACAAGGAATCGTCGATTGCTGGTCATCTGGTCTTCCATCCATTCACTGAGTTGGCTTTTCCACACTAATTATATACCTCTGGTATGGATCCTTTTGCTCCGTCCCAGTCCTCGCTGGAAACTGTATCCGGATTGGCTGCTCTTCTATGAAGTACACCAATATGGCGTGCCCTCCTCCTTCCATGTTTCTGTTTTTCATCGAGCTGCGCGCCTCGTCAACTGGCCTATCTTCACCGTCGAACCGTGACTCAGGGAACGCTCCTCTTGTCTTTTCGTCCTCAGCTGTTCCTCGTACATTTGTCTTTCGCCAGCCTCAATGAATTCATCACTCAAGATCATAAAAAGTAAAAACTGATGTGGAAGCCTCTGGAAGGTTTTATCGGTTCATTTAAAGGTGGCATTCACAAGAAAAGTAGTTCGCGTGCACACAATCGATAAACGGGATGAGATAAAAAAAACATGACGAAAATCCACTAGTCGGCGTCCTCCCATCCCTACCCTTCGCACTATAATACTCGGTTCTTTGCTCGGATGTCCGATCTTCACAACTGGTGTGGTCGGCCGGCCATGTTGGTAAAAGATGGTGAAACGAAGAAATAGCTCAAGTATCTTTTTTGCTTCGATTGCGTTGTTGGGGTCTTATTACTGCGATCCAACCACGACAGCGAAGAGACAATCCGGTGAGTGACTTCGACGTTCATGGATCTGACGATTGGTTTGTTAGTTGAAGCATTTCAAAAGCCTGGGCAACGAGACTGAAAAATTGTGAACGCAAAGAACAAAGGAAAACGAGCTTCCAGCATTCATAAGTTCTGGGGTAGTATTTTCTTCACTTTTGGTCTACATCTTTGATTCCACACAGTACTACTTGCTGTAATCTTCTAGACTCGAGCGCTCGAGCTCTCAGGCAAGAATTGAACACTATCATACTATGCATCTTGTCCAGAAACCTCAAATCTTTTGCTGGCATCTCCTTCAATCGGCAGTGGCTAAGCTTCGTATTACACATCGCAGCGAGTGCTCTCTGCTTCGCCCTCTTCCAGAGTCGCCTGATTCAGTAGGATCCAGTGCGGGCTCACAGTCCGTCATCCACCTCTGCCTCTGTTGTCAACAGCATCGCGAAAATAAGTAGCCTAGAAATATGTTGGCGGTCCCGTCCGATGAGATAGATGTATGGTCGCCAAAGTAGCAGCTTTCTTCGCAGTCACCTCGCAGCCACCAGGCCGGTGAGGTCACAAGGTGACTGTCGACCTTACTGCTTACTGATCAGCCTTTGCAGTAGGTCACTGTCATACATCGATACATTGATACCCACGAGGACTATCACTTGAGCCAAAGTTATTTATATGCCAATAACTTTGTGCGCATGTCGGAGTCCTAATTTTTCCGGTTGGGTCCCAGCGTTATCTTCGCTCTTGCTCCCCTTCATCTCTCCCTGAACATCAACATCCCGACGTGTTTTGGACATAACCATGGACACATTTTTTGAAAACTCTTCCCACTTCACTGTTCAGGATTCCCAGTTGTACAATGCAAAGGAAATCACAATAATTAATAATCACGATACTGGGAATTTAACTGAAGTGAGTCCGGGAAATTGGGTGCGCCAATGAATCGATTTTTTGCATCGATAAGCTTAATATCCTTGAATCAGTACCGCACCATTGCGGCGGGTGATCTCAACCTTCTCCGGGATTGGGGAAGCGTTGCTGAAGTAGAAGAGGTCGATAGGGCTGGAACCCGTTCATACATGATCAGATGTCCAACAGGCGTGTCGCGTATCATTGGTGTGAAGCTAGTACGCTCAGTTTATACTGTCCAAATAACATCGCCATCACTTTCCCATCCTGGAACAAAATTCACGGCTGTATTTTACGGCGGACCTAATGCACAGCAAGTATGTATCTATGCTGTAGGACTAGGGTATAGACTAAACTTATAGAATCGTAGACTTACAAAGAGGATTTACTTCAGTACTCTTCATTATGGTGGTTATTATCTGACAAACAATACTATGCACGCCATTTACCTCTTTGTCCAGTCACATAAACATTGCTAAACTGTTTCATCAGGAAACAGTGAAATGATACGGACTGATACACACAATGAGGCTTTTTCCATGTATAGCGTATAAAATCTGTATTGATCTGTATACTTTGCAGGCCAGTATGTACTACGAGTATACCCTGTATCAATTTGTATTTGATGGGGGGGCCTCCGTATATAATTGTACTGCTTCACATTATCGGGCCATTGATCTGTCTACATACAATTTCAGGTGGGCGGGCGCCGGGAACAGGCCACCTTGGCTTGGCCGCT